GACATATTTCCTCTTCTTTCTTTCTAGCCTAAAAGACTGAGAGCACACAGATAAAGAATACATTAGTAACAACCAATCAACAAGGATGGAGTGGAGGAAGAGAGTCACATTAGCACATCTTCCGAAGACACATACCTCATCTTCAACAGTTTTTGTTCCAATTTCCAAAGAAACAGACATGATATCACATGACACGCACATATTTACACACATACTTCAAACGTACCCTTCTGTAGTTTAATGCAACCATATGAAAGTAACAAAACAGCAGGTGTTCACTATCTTAGGGTGACACAAGTAAAGTTAAATAAATAAATACAATTTCAAAAAGTGTATTATTTGCAACAAAAAATTAGCACATGAATATTGCGCAGCATGCTCAGTTTGAACCCAGAATGTATTTTTAGGAAAGATAAAATAAAACTTGCAGTTGATGTTGTGTAGACCACCAACGGCAGAAAGACTTTCATAATAAGGGCTATTCATAAGTGAACAGATGACAGCTGTGACCTGATTACTCATGTGCATCACCGTGGATATTTTACATAGGCAGTAAAATCATGGCATGCAGTGCTGCTCGTGTCTCTTAAATTTAAAATGGATTTAAACAGATACTAGCACAGTTCCACTCATTTCCTTTTAACAGCAGAACTGCCACTGACATACACAGGAACCACACAACAAACCAAAACCACCGCTGGTATTTAACACTACCAACACCCAAACATCCACCCAGAACAGCCTGTCAATCAACACTCAGGCAACTAGTCAGTGCACTTTAAAGGGGTCATGACCTGACAAACCAAACTTCCCTTGATCTTTTGATATAAAAGAGATCATTGTGCTATAAAAAAAAAACATCCTGTAAGTTTCAGAACTTAAACCTTCCTCGTTAGACTAAAAACAGCTTATATTGAAGGCAGTCTGCCAAAATGACAGCTTGTGGAATGCACCAAAACATGACCTATTTCACACTTAAATAGTGTAAGACAGTTGCTAAATAGTTAAAAGGTCTTATCTGCTTCTCAAGTGATCGCACTGAAGCCAATGACTTCCTGACACTAGCAGAAATAAACACAGCTGTGCTGTACAGAGAGCAGCTCACCATTAAACACACTTCACATCTCTCTCTCCAGCTAGAAGGATGGACAAAACACAGACATACTGCTTCATTTGCAATATCACTGCAGATTATACAATGACCTTCAGATGGTCAACGTACAATCCATTAGATGGTCAATGAAACCCCCTGCGAAGTCAAAGTGGCCTACGTGCAGAACTACAATACTTGTTATTCTAACTGGTGCACATATATAGAAAAGTCATTTTTGAGAACAAAATGCTCACGTTGCAGTAACTTCAGTCTGATGCTCTTTACAGTTTTACATTTACATTTAGTCATTTTGCAGACGCTTTTATCCAAAGCGACTTACAATTGGGGAATACATAAAGCGATTCATCTTAAAGAGGCAAACAGACACAGGAAGTGCTCGTAATACCAAGTTTCAGGCATTGTTCCAAACAAGTGCAAGCTAGAAAGGGAAGGAATAAATAAAGAGAAAGTTTTTTTTTTATTTAGGATGAAATCAAATAGTGTTGAAAGAGATGAGTTTTCAGCTGTCGCTTGAAGATTGTCAGGGAATCAGCATTTCGGATTGAGGTGGGAAGATCGTTCCACCAGCCAGGAACAGTGAACGAGAATGTTCTGGAAAGTGATTTTGTGCCTCTCTGTGATGGTACCACGAGGCGTCGCTCACTAGCGGATCTCAGACTTCTGGAGGGGATGTAGATTCGTAATAGTGAGTTGAGGTAGGCGGGTGCTGAGCCTGTGGCTGTTCTATATGCAAGCATCAATGTTTTGAACTTGATGCGAGCCGCAACTGGCAGCCAGTGCAAGGAGATAAAGAGAGGTGTGACATGGGCTATTTTGGGCTCGTTGAAGACCAGTCGTGCTGCTGCATTCTGAATCATTTGTAGAGGTTTGATTGTGCTTGATGAAAGTCCAGCCAGAAGAGCATTGCAGTCCAGCCAGAAGAGCATTGAGCCTAGACAGCCTAGAAATGACAAGGGCCTGGACAAGAAGTTGTGTAGCATGCTCCGTTAGAAAGGGCCTGATGTTGTGCAATGCAAACCTACAAGATCAAACAGTCTTTGCAATGTGGTCTTTGAAGGTCAGCTGGTCATCAAAGATTACACCAATATTTCTGACCGAAGTTTATGGGGTAATTGTAGAAGAACCTAGCTGGATGGTGAAATCGTGCTGTAGAGATGGAGTGGCAGGGAAAACAAGAAGCTCAGTCTTTGCCAGATTGAGCTGTAGGTGATGTTCTTTCATCCATGCTGAGATGTCCGCCAGGCAGCCTAAGATCCATGCAGCTACTGTTGGATCATCTGGTTGAAATGAGAGCTAGAGCTGTGTGTCATCAGCATAGCAATGGTAGGAGAAGCCATGTGCCTGTATGATGGGACCCAGTGATGTAGTGTATATGGAGAAGAGGAGGGGTCCAAGAACTGATCCCTGAGGAACCCCAGTGACCAGTTGATGTGTTTTGGATACCTCCCCTCCCCAGGCCACCCTGAAAGACCTACCAGTGAGATAGGATTCAAACCAGCGAAGTGGAATCCCTGTGATGCCCAGTGATGAGAGGGCGGACAGGAGCATTTGATGATTGACAGTGTTAAAAGCAGCAGATAGATCTAGCAGAATAAGGACTGATGATGTAGAATAAACTTTTGCAATCCGCAAGGCTTCAGTGACTGACAGTAGCACAGTCTCATTTGAATGGCCACTCCTGAAGCCTGACTGGTTAGCATCCAGTTTGTTGTTCTGTGAAAGAAACAATGATACCTGGTTAAAAACAACTCATTCGAGGGTTTTCCCTATGAATGGAAGGAGAGAGACAGGTCTGTAGCTGTCTGTAAGTGAAGTGCTTAATGTAGGGTTTTTTGAGCAGTGGGGTTACCCGAGCCTGCTTGAATGCATTGGGGAAGGTGCCTGTGAGGAGAGATGTGTTGATGATATGTGTGAGTGCTGGTAAGAGAGATTGCTTGGAGAAGGTGTGAGGGGATTGGGTCTAGGATGGCTGGAGAGGAGAAGTTTGGATACTTCTGCCTCAGTGAGGGGACAGAAGGAGAAGATGGGAGTTTTAGTAGTGGATGTGGTTGGTTGGAGGTCTTGTATGTGTGGGGCTGAGAATTGACTGCTGATTGTTCTAGTTTTGTCTGTGAAGAATGTGGCGAAATTATCAGTTGTTATTGAAGTGGTGGGAGGTGGTGGAGGGGGACAGAGGAGAGACTTGAATGTTTTGAAGAGATTACGTATGTCTGGAGCGCTGGTGATCTTGTTGTGGAAGTATGAAGATTTGGCAGTGTGTACTTCAGCAGAGAAAGATGAAAGCAAAGACTGATACATAATCAAGTCTGACGGGTCTTTTGATTTGTGCCATTTTCTCTCAGCATTTTCTCTGGCCTGGAGGAGAGAGGACATATATCGTCTAGACAAGAGGTTAAAGTAGAGCATAAAGTGTCAGTTGCTCAAATGGATAGGTGAGGGAAGAGAGGAGGATACTACAGAGGAAGGTTTCGTCTAAAAGTAACCGGTAGAGAGGTTGGTGGCACACAGGTAGAAAGATGTAGGGTAAATGTCATAAAGAAATGGTCAGAGATATGTAGGGGTTCTACCAAAATGTTGTCTGCAATACAATTGCGTGTGTAAATTAAGTGAAGTTAGTTGCCTGATTTGTGAGTGCTTGTAGTGGTAAGGGGTTGAGGTCAAATGAAGCTAGGCCAGATGAATGTTGCAGTCACCAAAGAGTAAAAGTGGACTGCCATCCTCTGGTAATGAGGACAGCAGTTTTCAGTAGGCTGCCCCCTGATAGTCGACTAACCGTTAGTCGACCAAGATTTTTTTTAGTCGCTTAGTCGCAGAAAAAAAAAAAATTCCACAGGCGAAGTCACGCAGTCCGTGATGGACAGATCGTTAACGGCCGGTCTTTGTGGTAATACAGTACATCGGGCAGGACATCCAAACGCTTGCCTATCATTCACTGACCTCTCAAATATGGCTTATCATCTGAAATATGTAAGTATTAGCAACTTTACATGGCTGCCTTACAGACATTAAAAATATATATAGAGAGCAAAATGTCTACTTTCAAATGAACCAATTCAAATAGAAAACAAATATTCTCCGATTATGTAAACTATATGAAACATGCATACAGGCGCATCACTCCTGCGGAGATGACGAGTTAGTATCGACGCCTTCAACACTTATGCTGAAAACACAAAAAGCACTATAGTGTAGGCCTATCAATACATTATCAAAATGTTAATGCAGCCTCCCTACTGTTTTTCACTGACACATTCATAACCATTAGCTTCTGCGGTGCGCTGTGGCAAGCTTTATGCGTGTGCTTGAGCGCTTATAGGCTATGTAGGCAATTAAAGGCTCATTATAATGATTTAAATGGTTTATTAATAAACGTGCGATTAGTTGACTAATGCTTCAAATGAACGACTACTAGTCGACCAGAAAAATCCTTAGTCGAGGGCAGCCCTAGTTTTCAGTGACCAGTTTAAAAGGCAATATGAGAGAATGAGAGAAAATTTCCAAACATCAGGAAAACCTTCTGACTCTCATTGAAGACAATTCTAAAACTTTGAAAGATTTTAGGTAAGATTTTATAATATTAGAAATGTTTTAAAAGATTGTTTTAAAAATGTATGATAATCTTGTGAACATGAATGCTTATAAACTAATATACTGCATTAATTTAAGTAGATTGATAATATTACATTTTTTATAACTTAAACAGTCAAATGTTGTGTCAAATCTGCAATAAATAAATATATGTTTTAGTATTTTAAAATTTGAAAACAATTACACTGCTTAATATTTTTGTGGAACCCATGATACTTTTTTTCAAGATGCTTTAATAA